TAGCGGAGATGCTAATTTAATTATTGCTGTATTCATACATATTTCGAATAAATAATTTCACATGATCTGAAAAAAATTTGGGTGGTGAATTTTACCCAATTGTATGTAATTGATCAAAATTATCGTCTTTTTTGCTGTAAAAAATTTTGTTAAGTACTTACTGTTCCAGTGATCGCAGTATGTAGATAAGTTTGAGTTAGTTTGCATTGGATTAAAATGATTTTTATATATAAGTTACTGAAACAATTCTGTTACAGAACTTGCTACGTATTCCAGTAACCACAATATGTGGTTAAGGTGAGTTAGTTTGCATCAGAATTATCATAATCTCTATTGTGAGTTACTGTAAATACAAAACTTACTTGCTGTCTCAGTGACTATAATATGTAGTTAAAATTGAGTTAGTTTGTATTGGAATGATTTTTTATTATGAATTACGATAAAAAATTCCTTTACAGAACTTACTCGCTATTCCAGTGACAATGATATATGGTTAAGTTTGCTTTAGGATTCTGTTTCGCTATTCCAGTAACCACAATAAGTGAGTTTATTTGCATTTAAATTAATGTGATTTATTCATGAACTACAAAAATTCTGTTATAGAATTATTCACTATTCTAAATAAGATGAGTTAAGAATTATCATGATTCTATTGTGAGCTATTGCAAACAAAATCCTGTTACATAACTTACTGTTCTGGCGACCATTATATGCATTATATTTGAGATAATTTGCATTGGAGTTGTTATGATTTTAATTATGAGTTATGTAAATAACTCATCTATATCTTAATAAATAATATCAAAAGATATGTAGAATGCATGGAACTTGATCTTGTCAAATCTCATAAAAATTAATTCATGAGTCTGGGAATAAGAATTTAAATTTTATGAGGCGCAGTATTAATACTGATATTTGAATTGAAGTAGAAGAGCATTAACTAAAGAACACCATGCTGACTCATATTATAATAAGCTTAAATAAGAAGGTGAAAAGACCTTAGCAAGTATATCTTGCAAGAGCAAGAGAAGAAAAAAGCATTAATAAATGCGCATACAAGAATACTTTCCTGGCTTCTTTGAGTCTTATAATATAAACACAGTATGAAATGCATTAATTGATGCACTTTGTAGAAACAGTCCCTGAAGGAATTGAATCTTTGAGATATGATCTGATCCAGTTAAAACTAACCATCTGAATTGGTATTTATTAATATAACTTTTTTTAATATCCAGATATTGATTAAAAAAATTAAATTAATATCTGGATAAATTCATTGGATATTAATTGAACATTCAAATACTTCTCATATTATAATTCATATGTTGATTTTATTCTTTTTTTTCATTTTAAATTAAAGACCAGATTGATGGGAAAGCATTCAGCAGATGCGCTTTGCAAGTGCATCATATGACTTTGTGTTCAGATTAAAATTCAAATATTTTGATTAATAAATAATAATGACTGGTATAAAAAATTGTTCATCAACCAAATCAGCACGAACGATAAACTAATAAAACTAATAATAAGTGTATACATTGCTTTTGAATACTTTGATTAACAAATTATTTTATACTTTCTGGTTAAATTAACCTAAATAAATGACTTAATGAGAAATGACAGATAATTTATAATCTTATCGAGATAGAAATAACTTAAGGAGCAGCAAAAATATTTTTGGCATATTTAGACTATACTTACAGACTAATTTAATATAAATATAAAGAAATGAATATATCCACTATTATAATCATTGCCACTAAATCAAAAATAAGAAATCAAATTAAAAGTGAATAAGCATTATTTATTTTTCACAATGGCGGGAATAAGAGGCAAATTCCCGGTTATATGAGGGTCCCAAACTGTTTCGGCACCAAATTACGGATATGGCAACTTTTGATCTGGATTTGGGATTTTGCCAATATTTAACAATCACATATATGATGAAAATTTATTCATTGGAGTTTAATGTCACTTTCATATGGCGGCAAATATAATTGCTATTTGGGAGAATCCCGAACTGTAATAGACATTATCGTTATAGATTTGACCAAAATTTCTATGTATTTCCGGGTAATAGCTTTATAAAAATAAAATTTTAATTTTATAATTTTTTAAATAAAAGTCCGGGCGAGCGGGTTATTTATTTTGGCTTATTTTATAAGAACCTAAAAATTAACTTTATATGGTCTAATATATTTCTAAAATATATTTTGTTTTAAAATTAATTTTAACTGTCTATATAATTTTTTATATAAATTAATTTCTACATTTCAACAAATTTCAACATTTGAAATTTAATTCGGCATTTTATTTTTAAAAAATCTTTGGTGAAATTATTTTAATAATTTCTACTGTAGAAATTATATAATTTCACCCCCATCTATAAATACTACCCAACTATCATTAGAATTAAATTTTATATGCAAAAAATCGTCGAATTTGTGCTTCCGTCTCCACTAATGCACGTCGATAAATGTGCAAATATGATGATTCCATTGCTCTTTTGTCTTGAAAATTTCCATATTCTCTCGTGAAAGAATTCCTCTTTTTTATCTTAAAATTAGGGTTCTGCAACCTGGGCTCGTGCCTGTGCCCAAAAAAATTTAGCCTCAGGCATAGGCATGAATACGTGGAAAAACTTAGGCATGGACATAGGGCATGGCTTTAAAATTTTGGTATAGGAATGGGCGTGGGCACAAGTACAGAAATTTGATATTTATTATTTAATTGTTCCCGGCGTTGTGCTTGGCACTATTCTGGCATCTTGTGCTCGGCACTTTGTACCCATGCCTTTACTAGTGCCTGGAACTTTTGTGCCCATACCTTTAATGTACCTGGTATTTTATGCCCTTTTGTGTCTATAGGCATAGGCATGGCATAAAGCACTAGTGCCCGGCCTGGTGCCAATGTGCTGGGCACGGCATTTGCAGAACCCTACTTAAAATGGCATCGGAAACTATTGAATAAGTGTGATTAATTCAACATTATGAATAAATTTCTATAATATTATTCGGACACGATCATATATGAACATCAAAAATGTTACTAGCAAACATTCGATTTATTGTTGAAATATATAGTATTATTCTATGAAAGTTTCCAATATTGGAAATCTTTCTTAGATGACGTGTAATTAGCCTTGTAATTGCCCATGATTTCTTGGCCAAAAGATATCGCAGCTATGCGATATTTTGGTTGACTTTCTAAACTCTTTTTCTTTTTTCTTTTTTTTTAAAAAAAAATATTTTTATCTAAGAAGAATTCCTCATGGCAGGATAACTTTTACGTCTCCACTAATTTAAAAAATTAAATCAACCAGTATAATGTGCCAAAAATCCGGACGTACGTACAAGATCGGAAACTTCCGACAAACAAATAAAGCCGCGAGAAGAAAATCATTTCGTGCAAGATTTTTTCTTCTTCTCCATTCATTACAAGCCACGTTTGTTAATAAACTAGTTATTTATGGAATGTCCTTACATTGTGCATTACTGCAACAACGTCATGAGTATGGGACGAGATAATTAAGAGAGGGAGGTTATTAAGAGAAGGAGATTATTCAGGGAGGGAGATTATTAGATCATTAAGGGAAGGAGATTATTAAGGGTGGAGGATTATTATGGGAGGAAATTAAATATGAAGCGAATATTAACGATATGGGGAAAGTGAAATTCCTGCTGGCAAAGTATATGCACGCAGGTTCGACACTTAATTAGAAGTTTTCGCGTAGTTTATAAATAACAAAGGTTGGACAAAGGGATTAATACAGAGAGAAAATTGTATGGTAATGAAGGGAAATTTTCTTACTAGCAGAGTATGCAGATTTTTAAAACCTTATGGGGAAATACATTAAATGCTTGCTGATACGTAAAATATTGATCCGTAAATTATAATTTACGTCTCTTAAATAAACTGATGTTACAAAGAAACTAATAAATATATAATTAAGAATAAAACTTCAAACTTAATATTTTGAGTACATTTTCTATGAGTAATCATTCTATTTATGATATTCGTCATGGCATGTAAAACGGATAAAAATAAAAGAAATGAAATAATTCGTAGGCAAAAAACAGATTAATAACAATATCGTATATTATCATTATTTTTATAATTGAATTCTTTTTTTTTTTTAGTTTAATTCCTTTGTTTATATATTTTCTAATTTTAGAATAAAGTTTGTACAATCTCCTAATTAGAGATTGTACCCGTCAAGAAAATCTCTACCCGGATATTATTAAATTACCCGGTTATCCGGATAATTTATTATAGCCATATAATAAAAATATCTACCCGGGTACAATCTCTAGATCTATCAAACTACGTATTTATGTATTTATTTTATATTTTTATTGGGAAGATAAAACAATTTTAAAATTTTTCAGCTCTATTAGTAAGACCAATCAAATTGTATAATATAGATCATGATTTGCAAAATCTGCAGCACCTTTTGATGTGACTAGGCTGTTCACACCATAATTCTTTGCCCATTTTAAATTTATTTCGCTCTTATTAATAATTTCTTTTTCATGCTCAGGTGGACCTATCTCACGTTATGATGCTCTTGTAGCATCCAGAATGGTAAGAGAAGATTCTTTTCAGCGTAGTATAGTCTATACCCTACAAGATTTATACGAACGGTTGATAAATTGTGCTCCACCTCCCATCATGGATGCAAGGGGCAATATGGGTAGCAATTCAATTTTTAGCAAGGTGAATTTATTAAGTGCACTTTGGTCCTATACGATGTTGCAATTATTTAGCAATTATCCAATTTCAATCAATGCCAGGTTTCAGGATTGTTTGGCGCCTCGCTTAAGAGTGCTCCAGTAAATAGCCCAAAAGGATTATATTTATATGGTGATGTAGGAACTGGCAAGACTATGCTGATGGATCTTTTCTTTGACACACTTCCAATTGAACGAAAGCGTCGAATTCATTTTCACGCTTTTATGCTTGATATTCATGAACGAGTTCATAAACTTAAGCGAACGATTTCAGAAACTTATGATCCAATACCACCTATTGCTACTGATTTAGTAAATGATGCATTCGTCTT